GCAGAAAGCTTCATCTTTCTCCCATGGAACAGCTGGTAGTTTCGAACTGCTGACCTTGCGGTTCGCAGCCCGATTCATAACCACTATGCTACCAGAGCTCTTATATTTGGATGTAGAAATGTAAATTCTCAGCTGGGGGTTTAAATGGAATGAATAAGCTCAAAGCCCTGGTTTATTTTATTATTACCAAGAGTGAGCAATAATGATTCTAGGGGAAATTGTGATAGCTAAGGTTTTGTGTCAACATGGCTTGGCCAGCATTCTCAGTGGTTTAGCAATTAAGATGTGGTTGTCACTTACAAGATGTAATCACTTTCATGATATGATCTGATTAGCTCTGATCTGATGTAATTACCCTATGTGTTGTAAATCCTCACTTTTATGATATTAATGAGGTCAGATGCAATCTAGAGGATTACGTTTTATCTTGAGTCAATCTCTTTTTGAGATATAAAAGGAAAGAGGGACTTCCTATCACTAGATAGAAGAGCCAGGAGTGGAGTGTGTTCTTTGGACCTGAGGTCCCTGCACTGTGAAGCTCCTAGACCCAGGAGAATGCTCCAAGGGATGCTGGGCCTACGGATACTGAAAGGAGACAAACAACCTTTCCCAGAACTGACAGAGCTAGCCTTCCCCTACAGCTAGCACTCTGAATTTGGACATGCAGCCTCCTAAACTGAGAATACATTTCTGGTTGTTAAAGTCATCAGTTTGTGGTATTTCTGTTAGAGTAGCACTAGATAACTAAGATAACAGGATTTGAGGATGGGAGGCCCTCCTATGTCAGACAGTATTTTTAAATGTGTGTTTTATTGTGATTTGGGTAAAAGTTTACAGAACAAATTGGTTTTCCATTCAACAAGTTATACACATTTTGTTTCACGACATTGATTTTAATCCCTACAATGTAACAGCACTCTTCCCATTTCCTCCTTATGTTTACTATTTCCTTTGTTGCTTTCTTGTAACTTAAAGTTGGGTCACTGAAGTGGGTTCAAGTTATAAGCCTGAAGGTTGTCTAATAGTGATAGTCCTGGGGTTCCAATCAGTCTCTATAAGACCAATAAACCTGATCTGTTTTATGATTCTGAGATTTGTTTTACATTTTTCTCCCACTCTGTTCAGAGCCTCCTGTTGACCTCCTATCCAGGATCCCTTTCAGAGTCCTGGCAGTGGGAACCAGGAGACACTGTCTAGTTCTTTTGGTCTCAGGGTTGGCACCATAGGATAAGCATTCAACCTCATGTTTGAACTGCAAGATCGGTGGTCAAACTCACCAAGTGCTCCTTAGAAACCCTATACGTGTTCGCTACGGCACTTAACAACAACAACAACATCATGGGATAGTCTGTTAGGCTAATTATTTCCATACATTTTTCATATTCTTTACATTTTTTTGCTCCTGGCAGGGAGAGAGACCAATAGTTTGATCTTAAATGGCACTTGTTGTTGTCAGGTACCATCGAGTCGGAACCAACTCATAGTGACTCCATGCACAGCAGAACGAAACAATGTCTGATCCTGGGCCAACCTCACTATCGCTGTCACACTCAAGTCCATCAATGATGAAATGGCCATTTACAAGTTTTGAAAAACCTCAATAACTACTCACCGGAGTAAGATGTAGACAGTAGTAGTAGAAAGGCATGGGAAATGCTAAGTTATCCAGTAAGCACCAATTTGCCCTTTGGAAATTTAGAATTCGTTTTAATATGACCTTTGACAATTTAAAGAGAAGTTATTTTAATTTTTCTATATTATTTAAAACTTGTGTTTTCTAGTTTAGTATTATTTTCATATTGAAGCTCATCTACAGGGAAACATTACAATTGTTTAAGTGACTGGGCTCCAGGGATCGTAATGCTGCATGGCCTAGGGCCATGAAAGGCATGCTTCACAATCAATTAGTATCAGGAAAAACTGGAAGCTGAATGTATTTTATGTTTCTTTCAGCTCTTGTGAAATGGAGCTCTCTTTTCCCCACAACTGTTAACTGCCATCGGATACAGCGACCCTGTATAGGGTTTCCAAGTAGCGGTTGATGAGTTTGAACTGCCAACTTGTAAATAGGAAATTTTATGATTTGGGCATTATGAATACCCTATCAAAGCCTACTTCAGTTGTCCTCATTGCTGCCACTGCCGCTGCCCTTCCCTGCTGCTGGCAGAGGCTGGAGGGATCTAGGGCAGCAGCATCAGTGAGAGAGCATCTGCAGGAGCGAGGAAGCAGGAATCCAGCAGTCCTCCCACTCTTCCTCTGGCCTGCCCACAGGACAAAGTCCAAGGGCCTGATGCCCAGGGCCATGTCCTCAGTCTGATTCATCTGACTATGTTTCAGCATGGTTATTGTTGTTAGGTGCTGTTGAGTTGGTCTGACTCATAACGACTATATATGCAACAGAACAAGACACTACCCAATCCTGTACCATCCTCACAATCATTTTCATGTTTGAGTGCATTGTTGTTGGCCACTGTGTCAATTCACTGAACGATGGTGCATCATTCTCCCTTCTAAACAACATTCTGACTTCTGAGATAGATTGGTTCATTCTTCTGGTAGTTCATGGTATATTTAATATTCTTTGCCAACACCATAATTAAAATACATCAATCCTTTGGTCTTTTTTATCCCTTGTGCAGCTTTACCCTGACTTGGGTGGTATGCATCATAGTTTTTAAAGTGTCATCTTTGCTTTTTAACACTTTAAACAGATCTGTTGCGACAGATTTGTCCAATGCACTATGTCATTTGACATCCTGACTGCTGCTTCCATGAACATTGTGGATGTAAGTAAATGAAATATTTGACAATGTCAGTATTTTCTGTGTTGATCATGATGCAGCATCCTCTTGTTCTGTAGGAATGACTGTCTCTTGGTTCCACATGAGCACAATTATATGATCTGGAATTTTAAAACTATTAGGGGGAAATAATAAACAAAAAGAGTTGTTGTCCCTTAAAAACAAACAAACAAAAATATTATGAGGTCATGGTGGTATATGCAGTGAGACATTGTCCAAAGGGATGTTAAGCAATGCAGTTTTCAGGATCTAAACAATGCACATGCTGCCAAATTGTGCAAGCTATAGGGAACACTTTCCACAGGTGTTTTGCTTTCCAGAGATTACTCACTTGCTCTAAATGCAATCCAATGTGTTGACTTGAGGTTTAAGAGTTCCCCCGCCGCCCCCCCCCACCTCACCACCCCTTACATCCCTTTCCACCCTCCCTCACCCTTGCTACCTTTTCTCCCTTCTCTCTACCCTAGATACCTGGAGACACAACAGTACTTATCTGAGGCTCAGTAGCAACAACCAATATGTTCCCAACTCTGAAGTGCAAGGCACTGGAAACTAGGTGTTTGTCTCAAGGAAGCTTTTGCCTCTGGAATTTCCTGCCTGTTTCAGTCTGCCAGAGCCCCACCTTAATGACCTTCAGGGGCACTTGAAAGACTTGTTTTCAATATAACTTTTATGATTGGCAGAGGCCTTAATTAAGACCATTGAAATTTTTTTTAAAGCAGAATTTAAGCAGTTTTATTGCTCATGTTCTTTGGTGTTATAATGTTTTAATTTTGGTACTGTACTTGCTTCTTTATGACAATTTCAAACAGGGCACAACTTCAAAAATATACATACCAATAACTGTGTGTACTTAGTAATGAGAGTGAGTGCCTTTGTGAATGCAGAGTTATTTGAATTCTAAAAATATCAGTCAGATTAATGCTCCGTCTCACACTGGTACCTCAGGTGTGCTGGCTGGCTGGCACCTGCAATAACCGTAACTTTCAAGGTGGATATTAAACACAATCCGCTCCTGGAGAGAGCTCTAAAAAGGTGTGTGTGTGCTTGTCGAATCTGAAACCCACCCTGGAGTGCAGCATTGGCTTTCACTGGACGCTAAGATATTTACACTGGATGATTATGCAAAGACATTAACAGCTGCTGGATTAATTATTGATAGAGGAGTTACTGTCAGTCAACTGAGAAGAGAAACAAAGAATATTTTTAAATCATCTGATCAAAAAGACATCTGTATAACACAGCTCTTTTGCCGTTTATTACCCCCAAACTTCTCCCCAAATAAATAATTTCACAAACCTAGTCTTTAGAAATTATTTGTGCTTACCCCTTCAATGTTTTCTTTGCAAAGGCTCTCTCCCTTTCAAAACCCAGAATCTTGGCTGGGTTTGCACTGTTTTCAGAAGATGCCGTACATCGGGTAACAGATAACATGTTTTACTTTAAAAAACTTAAATACAGAAAAAAGAAATCTGGAGGATAATGAGTACCCCCACCCACGACCTTCAGATCCTCGGTGAGGACGCTGTGTCTTCAGCGCTGCGGGCCTTCTTGGCTCCTCCACAGTTGCCCCGACTGTGGTTGTCTGCGAAAGGAGAACTGGTCAAAAAGGAAAAACAAATAGTTGGTCTGGTGATATCCAAGGAGAGTTTTCACTGTGCCTTGACTAATATTTGAAACAACAGCGCCAACACATCGTTTGACATCGCGGTTTAGGAACCTTTCTGTGGTTGCCAAGATTCTTTTTAGAGACTTAATCCCCGAGGCCGAGGACCACGCCGGAGCCCCTGGTGGGACAGAGTACTCTCCCTCTGTGTCTGCCTTGAAAGGCGGGATCTACAGACAGCGATGCTGCGGGAGATTCCGCAGTGTCAAAGAGCCCCCAAACGGTCCCGCCTCATTCGCCGTGGTAAGTGTGCTTCGCAAGTCATTTCTGGTAAACCGTCACCCGATTTGGCGCACGGGAGTGGCGCTTGTGTGTCCGAACCAACGAACTGGTCCATGGCCAGGTCAGGGGGCCGGGCAGGCTGCAGCGCCAGCTGAGTGCAGCCCTGGGCCAGGCGTCCCCCCCGCCCCCCTTCGGGTAACGGACACACGCCTCTCACCTGGGCGAGGCCAGGCGCGCAGGCGCGGGCCACTGACGGGTGCCTCAGCCCGACGCGGGCAAGAGTTGGACAGTTTCGGGCCGCGCGGAGCTGAGCTGTTCCCGCCGCCACCGCCCGTGCTGCAGCAGATCGAGGGAGAGCTTCTGCGCAAAACCCCAGCGCAGCCCGGGCGGGATCGCTGCAGCTGCCAGAGCGCGAGCAACAGCTTCCCTAATACTGGAGCCACTGCTCCACGCGCCCGCGACCCGCGCGCCGAGGTAAGCTCTGGGCATCCAGCCCAGCGCCCGGGGGCGGGCACCACCTTCCCGCTCCGGCCCCGCCTGCCTGCCTCTGTAGGGCGAGCGGATACCTGGGCGCGCAGAGTGAGGGCATGGCCGGGAACCCCCCACCCCCATCCCGATAGAGTTTGCACTTTGTCCCACTTGTAGAGGAGGGAGCCCAGGCGCTGTTCCCCCGGGCTGCGGAGGCGATCTCCGAGGAGCCCCGGGAGTTTAGGAGTAGGCGGTGGAAGCTAGAGGGATGGAGGAGTGCTCTGTGCAGTCTTTGCTTGCTAAGGACTGAAGGGGAGGATGGAGAATGGGAGGAGGATTAGGAGAGTGATCCGCAGTGGTTAGCCTTAGCCACTGCGTCTCGCCACCTGGACTGGGAAGTTTGGTGTTGGACATCCCTTCCTTCATTACAGAGAAAGAGCAGGTTGAGTTTGGAGCGGTGGGAGGAGGATATCAGTCGAGGCTAAGGGACCCGGGAGGGTGCTGCAGCCGAAGGAAGGGGATTTAGGGATGGTAAGGCAAGGTCTCCAAAGTTTGAACTTGGTGTGAGTCCAGAGGAGACGCCCAGCAGCTACCCAGTGCCGGTGAAGTTGCGGTGCTGGGTGGGACGACACTGAGGTACTGCGGAAGGGACGCGAAGGGAAGAGGGAGGACCATCTGCTCTGCTGCTGCCTTGTGCGGGGGCCGGTGGGGAGAAGGAAGAACTGGCAGGACGCTACTTTCCCCGAGTGCTTCCCTAAGCTCTGGAGGACAAACGGTTTTAATAATAAATCCAGAAGAGGAGTGCTGTGGGTCCTTCAGGGAAAATAAACTGCCAACAAGGACCCCTCTCCTCCCAGTGAAACAAAATAAAAGCAGTTTGGGTGTGCGCTCCAAGGTTCTTGGATTGAGACGTCTTCATTTTCATACAGAGATGAGGTTTGCAGTTTGGTTTTGCTTACCAAAATGAATGGAAACTTTGTCAAGATGAAGCAAAAGATACTCCAACAGAAGAACTGACACATTTAGTTTGTGTTTTATGGTCCAGTCTAAAGGTTAGAAACTGGCAATTTAGAAAGTCTGATGCTGTAGGAAATGCATTGATCAAATTAAGAAGCCTTTTCAGAGAGTCAGTAGGCTGCATTTAGAGAAAGTTGAAAGTTCTGGCTTGAAAGAGCACTTTTAAATATTTCAAGTACCGTTTTCACTGGTTTCTAGAGTCTTCTTTATCTTATTTTGAGTGTAAATTGCTGCATTGCAAACTCTGTTGTTACTTGAAAATTTCAAGGTGAAAATATGTTTACTTGGTTAAAGTATTGGTGGCAGTTCAGATAAGTATTTGTGAATTTATAATTGGCTCACCTATCCATGTCCAAAAGTGACTTAAGGAAGCTTGGGGTGAAAACCACAAATCAAATAACTATTCTGGTAGATCTCCTTGAACTCTTGGATGTATTTGTAGTAAAGTGCTTTTGGGAAGGTGAATTCTCCTAACAAAGGAGAAATTACTGCCCTCTCTGAAATCATGCTGGTGATAGAGACAATTTTGCAATATAATTCCTTAGGTATTTGATATGTCGGGCATTATATTACTTTATGGAGTCCTGGTGTGGCGCTTTGGGTTAATGTGCTGGACTGCAAAGTCAGTTTGAACCGCAAGGTTGGCTGTTCAAGCTCATCAGCTGCTCCTTGGAAAACCTATACAGGGTTGCTGTGGGTCAGAACCGACTCAATGATACTTTAAAATATATTATTTTATACTGTACAAGTAGTGATCTCTTTATAGAAGTTTAATGAGCTATGTAGCATCTATACTAAGGAAAATAATGTTGATGCTTTACAGTATTTTAACAATATGCACATTCATAAAACAAAAAGAAACAGTGAATTGAATGCATCCCTCTTGAAACAAGACAGAAACGAAACTAATGGAAGTATTTCCTCTAAAGACAAATCAGAAAAGGAGCTGACATTAGTATTTGTGACCCAAACATGGTCCACTGGAAGATAACTTTTCAAAGTGTTATATGGGCAGCTACAAAGTGTATCAGGTGTTCTCAGCATTCTTTGTCTCAGGCTAGTAGCTTAGCTCAGATTGAAAAAAAACAAAACAAAAAAAATCCTTCAAAACAAACGTAACTCCTAAAGCTTAAATGTCTCTACAGAATAATACTATATGGAGTTATGCATCATGGAAGAGATACGATTATAAATCCTTGGACTGATCCTTACTTACACTTTTTTATGCAACCTGAATTTGAAGATGTTGTTGTTGTTAAGTACCGTGGAGTCGATTCCGATTCATAGTGACCATGTACAGAGTTTCCAAGGCTGTAAATCTTTACGGGAGCAGAATGCCTCATCTTTCTCCTGCGGAACAGCGGGTAGTTTCGAACTGCTGTTCTTCAGGTTAGCAGCCCTATTCGTAACCACTAAGCTACCAGAGCTCCTTGAGTTTGAAGATGCTAGGCTATTATTGCTTTATTTTTAGCAATAACAATTTATAGCAAAAATATGACCAATTAGCTAACTTCTCAAAGGAATGACTGCTTCATTTGTGGAAATTGTTGTTCATAGAAATAAAGAGCACAATTGACTTTCTGTCCTTCCCATGTCTTCCTGTGTCTTCAAAGATCTAAAGAATAGTTGGAAGAGTGTGTTTGTTGGTTTCAACTTACCACTTTTCATTTGTTGTGACTTTCCCTATACCTATTACCATCACATCATCTCTATTTTTGTCGCCTTCCCTACTATTGTCTCTGTTACCTACATATCTCAATATAATCTTTTATCTTGTTCCCTTTTTTTATTCTGAAGATTCTTTTTGATTCTCTTTGCTTTATAGATTATCTCGTTTTTGTAATTTTTATTTAACTTTTTATTCAGTGGCATTCTGTTATTGTTATTATTGTTAGGTGCCCTTGAGTAGGTTCCATATCAGAGCAGCCCCATGTACAACAAATTGAAATACTGCCTAGTCATGCACCATCCTCATAATTGTTATGTTTGAATCCATTGCTTTAGCTACTGTGTACATCCATCTTACTCATGGTCTTCCTGTTTTTGACTGACCTTCTACTTTATCAAGCATGACATCCTTCTCCTGGGACAGGTCCATCCTGATAACATGGCTTAAGTGACTAAGACAAAGTTTTGCCATCTTCACTTCTGAGTAGCATTCTGGTTTTAGTTTTACTCAGACAAATTTGTTCATTCTTTGGCAGCCACTGGTATATTAAATATTTTTTATCAACCATAATTCAAAGGCATCAATTCTTCTTTGGTTTTCCTTACTCCTTGTCCAGCTTTGGCATGCATATGAGGCAATTGAGAATACCATGGCTTAGGTCAGGCACACCTCAGTCCTCAAAGTGATTATCTTTGCTCTTTAATACATTAAAAAGATCTTTTGAAGCAGATTTTCCCAATGCAATCTGTTGTTTGATTTCCTGCCTGCTACTTCCATGTACTTGGATTGTGAATCTAAGTTAAATGAAATCCTTGACAGTTTCAATATTTTTCCCATTTATCATGATGTTGTTTATTGGTCCAGTTTTGAGGATTTTTGTTTTCTTTATGTTGAGGTATAACCCATACTGAAGACTTTATTCTTCAAACTTTATCAGTAAGTGCTTCAATTCCTCTTAGCTTTCAGCAAGCAAGGTTTTGTCACCTGTATATTGAAGGTTGCTAATAAGTCTTCTCCAATCTTGATGCTGTAGTCTTTTTCATATAGTTTATTCGATTATTTGCTCAGCATAAAGATGAAATAAGTATGATGAAAGGATACACACACCTTTAATGATTTGAAACCATGCAGTGTCCTGTTATTCTGTTCTAATTACTGCTTCTTGGTTTATGTACAGATTCCACATGATCACAATGAAGTGTTCTGGAATTTCCATTCTTTGCAATGTTATCCATAATTTGTTATGATTCACACAGTTGACTACCTTTGGTAGTCAACTGTTTTTAACCAAGATCCATCTGATATCAGTAATGCTATCCCTAGTTCAATGTCCTATTCTGAATCAGGCTTGAATTTCTGGTAGTTCCCTGTCAATCTCTACTGCCGTAACACTTTGAACTTTCTTAAGCAAAATTTAATGAGCGTGAGTTTAATGGTATTTGATAATTTCTGAATATCATTGCATCACCTTTCTTGGGATTGGACACAAATATGGATCTCTTTCAGTCAGTTTGACAGACTGTCTTCCAAATTTCTTGGCATAGAAGAGTGTTTTCCTCCAGTGCTGCATCTGTTTGTAGAAATATCTAGGCAATTTCTAGAGCCTTGGTTTTTGCTGTTGTTGTGGTTTTTTTTGCCAATGTCTTCAGTCCTGATTATTTCTTACTAAAGTGACAGCTCTCTGGAGTTCTGGTGTGGCACTGTAGGATAAGCACTGCACTGATAACTACAAGGCCAGCAGTTCAAATCCACCAATCATCCTGGAATTTGTTTAAGTAGAACCAACAGGATATTGAATGATTTTAAACCAGGAAAAGTATGCACTAGGTTTATATCCTTTTACCTTATTTAGTCAGCCTGTATGCTGAGCAAATAGTCTGAGAAGTGGGATCATAGAACAAGAATGCAGAATCAAGATTGGAGGAAGACTCATTAACAAATTGTAATATGCAGATAAAACAACCTTACTTGTTAGAAGTGAAGAGTACTTACTTATGAAATCAAAGACTACAGTCTTCAGTATGGATTGTATCTCAATGTAAAAAAAAAAAAAA